CGTCAGAGATCGGCGTGGCCGCCGGCGGTGAATCGAGAAGATGGGCAACCGATGTATTTTATGATGTTGTCAATGTGTGTCCTGAGCCAAAAATCGCGGGCTCGCCATTCCCCCCCGTGCCATCTGAGCGCTGGGCATGGGCGGCACCTGGTGGTTGAGCGGCTGTAGAAGCTGCGGAGCCCTGAAGGCGCCCGCTCCGCGGGCACGAAAAAGGACGATCGTCAGACAATTGGGACATGAAGCTGGCTGAATCAGCTTCCAGCCTGACCATCTCGAAGCGGGCTAATACCGCATCGTTTCGCCCTCCGCGCTCAGAGCAGAAGTCGACGAGGCCTATGCAATACGTCAGTTGTCGCTAATCCTCTAAATTTTCAAACTTGGCGCTGGGGAAGAACATGATGTATGTAATTGCGTCGGTGCGCTGGCATTGGATGATGGGCCTGTAATTGACGATGTGGGCTGGCACGTTCATCGCAATGGTTCCTGCGAGACTCAATGATCGGGCCGCGCTGCAGCGCAGCGAGTTACTAATGGGGTAGTCTCATCGTGCTGCTGGTAGCGGTCAACCATGAATGATCTTCGGGAACGAACTCGCGAAATGGTACGTTGGTTGCCTGCAGGGGCCCAGTAGGGTCCTTAGGTACGAGTATGATCCCATCCTCCGCTGCGTGTGCCCGACTGCAGGACCGAGGCGTATTCATATGATGCCGAAAATAGTGATGTTGCTGTCGTGCACGGTGAAGTCTTGGTCGCTGGTGTGCTAGTTTTTCCCCCATGGGGCTGACGTGGCTGTCAGCTTCCGAGTGGGTGCGGGAAATATGTTTCCACTAGAACCACGCGCGCGCTTCGCGCGCGCTTAGGTTCTGTCGAATCACAGACTCAGGAATCGTTGTGAGAAGAAATTGGTGACGCGAAGCGTCGTGGGGGCGTCCTTGGACGTCTGGGGTCTCCTGGCGCCTCTTGAGGGGCCTCCTGGGGGCCTCCTGGCGGCCTCTTGGGGCGGAAAGCTCGAGCTTGCGGTTCGTGGTCCCCCTCTGGGCCCCCTCTTGGGCCCGTCTTGGGGCCCTCTTGGGCCATCTTGGGCGCCTCTTGGGCCGTCTTGGGGCCCTCTTGGGCTGTCCTGGGGCCCTCTTGGAAGCTTCTTGGGCCGTCTTGGGGCGGTCTTGGGCGCCTCTTGGGCCGTCCTGTAACGTCGGAAAGCCCAAAAGACAACTTTGTTGAACATGTACGTTTTACGAAGGGAATGGGCCAACTTTTGCGTCTAGGGGCCCTCTTGGGACGCATGTTGGAGGCTTCTTGGGGCGTCTTGGGGGCGTCCTTGGACGTCTGGGGTCTCCTGGGGCCTCTTGAGGGGCCTCCTGGGGGCCTCCTGGCGGCCTCTTGGGGCGGAAGGCTCGAACTTGCGGTTCGTGGTCCCCCTCGGGGCCCCCTCTTGGGCCCGTCTTGGGGCCCTCTTGGGCCATCTTGGGCGCCTCTTGGGCCGTCTTGGGGCCCTCTTGGGCTGTCCTGGGGCCCTCTTGGAAGCTTCTTGGGCCGTCTTGGGGCGGTCTTGGGCGCCTCTTGGGCCGTCCTGTAACGTCGGAAAGCCCAAAAGGCGACTTTGTTGAAAATGTACGTTTTACGAAGGGAATGGGCCAATTTTGCGTCTAGGGGCCCTCTTGGGACGCATGTTGGAGGCTTCTTGGGGCGTCTTGGGGGCGTCCTTGGACGTCTGGGGTCTCCTGGGGCCTCTTGAGGGGCCTCCTGGGGGCCTCCTGGCGGCCTCTTGGGGCGGAAGGCTCGAGCTTGCGGTTCGTGGTCCCCCTCTGGGCCCCCTCTTGGGCCCGTCTTGGGGCCCTCTTGGGCCATCTTGGGCGCCTCTTGGGCCGTCTTGGGGCCCTCTTGGGCTGTCCTGGGGCCCTCTTGGAAGCTTCTTGGGCCGTCTTGGGGCGGTCTTGGGCGTCTCTTGGGCCGTCCTGTAACGTCGGAAAGCCCAAAAGGCGACTTTGTTGAAAATGTACGTTTTACGAAGGGAATGGGTCAATTTTTGCGTCTAGGGGCCCTCTTGGGACGCATGTTGGAGGCTTCTTGGGGCCTCTTGGGGGCGTCCTTGGACGTCTGGGGTCTCCTGGGGCCTCTTGAGGGGCCTCCTGGGGGCCTCCTGGCGGCCTCTTGGGGCGGAAGGCTCGAGCTTGCGGTTCGTGGTCCCCCTCTGGGCCCCCTCTTGGGCCCGTCTTGGGGCCCTCTTGGGCCATCTTGGGCGCCTCTTGGGCCGTCTTGGGGCCCTCTTGGGCTGTCCTGGGGCCCTCTTGGAAGCTTCTTGGGCCGTCTTGGGGCGGTCTTGGGCGCCTCTTGGGCCGTCCTGTAACGTCGGAAAGCCCAAAAGAGAACTTTGTTGAAAATGTACGTTTTACGAAGGGAATGGGCCAATTTTTGCGTCTAGGGGCCCTCTTGGGACGCATGTTGGAGGCTTCTTGGGGCCTCTTGGGGGCGTCCTTGGACGTCTGGAGGCCATCTTCAGCATCTCAGAGCCCTCTTGGAGGCCTCTTGGAAATTTCTTGGGCCGTCTTGGGCGCTCCTGGGGCCGTCTTGTCTGACCGGGGAGGCCTCCGGCAAGCCCCGACGAGCCTCCGGGCCCCCCGGAGCCCACATTTGTGGTCGAGGTCCCGGCCCCGGGCCCCCGGACCCGGTGCGCCGTTATATGTATATGTTGCGCATGGCCGCGCTGTGGCATCGAACCCAGTGGGATACAATAGTGATGTTTGGTACCAGTTAGCTGTCCGTGGTGATTGGGAGCGTAGTGGTGCATAGCCGCGGCGTACATGTTGCAGTCGACGTGGCTGTCGACGGGTGTATTGTCACAGGGAAATCGGTTGCCTGGCTTGGTTCCACGAAGGAACGCTGGTGCAGGAAGAGCCACCGCATTAACAATCCGCCAATGTGTGCCGTGAAAAACCTGTGTAATAATCAGACCCCGCCACACGGTAGTGAAGCCAACTCCGCTACCAAGTCGAAAGAAGGCCTGGCAAACCGTTATATCTGACGACCCCTATATCCCAGCCATGACGTAGCGTTGGTGGAGGATGGCGAATAGGGACATGGGACAGAAGATGCAAGATGATGCGTGGTCAAAGTACGATGTACATTCTCTTACACGGTGATGGACAGCGAAACTGTCTAGGTAAAGCTTGCTGCTCGTCGCTGTCAGCCGCAGAGGCAGCGGATCGCTCGCTTTGCTCGCCTTTGACCTCCGTTCAAAATGAACCGTATGTGTGTGTGTGTGTGTGTGACAGCCCGATCGCAATTGGCACTTCCATCAGCTGTCCGCGCATGAGGGTCCTCTGCGCCGCCGGCTTAAAACGTGCGTGTGTGTATTGTGTTGTGCTGTGCTGTGCTGTGCTGTGCTGTGTTGTGTTGTGTTGTGTGTGCGTCGTGCGTGCGTGCGTGTGTGCGCGCGTGCGTGTGTGGTTGTGTGTGGTGTGTGTTGAGGGGGGGTCCTAAGTCAGAATGCCATCCGATCTTGGGGTTCCCAGGGCCCACAAAAGACCCCAAGACGGTCAATAGTGCCCCAGGAGGCCCCCAAAACGGTCTAAGAGGGCCCCGAACCGCCGAACGATCGGTCCAATACGCCAGCGATGGCCTCCAGACGGGCCAAGAGGCCTCCAAGACGGCCCAAGAGGCCTTCAAGAACACTCCGAAGAGGGCCCCCAGAGGCAAGCTTCCGATGTTCCTGATATTCTGGGATCTCGCCTTCTCGGCTTGCCAACGCTCCCAGACGGCCCAAGATGCCCCCAAGATCGCACCAAGAGACCCCCAAGAGGTCCCCAACACGACTCAAGAGAGCCCCAAGACGGCCCAAGATGCCTCCAAGACGGCTAAAGAGGCCCCCAAGACGGCCCAAGAGGCCTTCAAGAACACTCCGAAGAGGGCCACCAGAGGCAAGCTTCCGATGTTCCTGATATTCTGGGATCTCGCCTTCTCGGCTTGCCAACGCTCCCAGACGGCCCAAGATGCCCCCAAGATCGCACCAAGAGACCCCCAAGAGGTCCCCAACACGACTCAAGAGAGCCCCAAGACGGCCCAAGATGCCTCCAAGACGACTAAAGAGGCCCCCAAGACGGCCCAAGAGGCCTTCAAGAACACTCCGAAGAGGGCCCCCAGAGGCAAGCTTCCGATGTTCCTGATATTCTGGGATTCTCGCCTTCTCGGCTTGCCAACGCTCCCAGACGGCCCAAGATGCCCCCAAGGTCTCACCGAGAGACCCCCAAGAGGGCCCCAACACGATTCAAGAAGGCCCCAAGATGGCCCAAGATGCCTCCAAGACGGCTCAAGAGGCCCCCAAGACGGCTCCACGAGGATGCCCAGACAGGGGACGCGAACGGACATTTCGAGCCCTCGGCCCCAAGAGAGGCTCCCAGGAGGCCCCCAAGATGCCCCCAGGAAGCCCCGAGAGGGCCCCAAGAAACTCCCAAGAGGCCCCCTAAATGCTCCCAAGAGGCCTCCAACCTGCCCCCCAGAGGCCCCCGAGAGCGCTCCGAAGAGACTCCCAATCGTCATCGTCGTCGTCGTCGTCGTCGTCGTCGTCGTCGTCGTCGTCGTCGTCGTCGTCGTCATCGCCCTCCTTCAGGGTCGGCAGCACGGGCCGTAAGGCCTTCGCAATATGGTCACGGACTGACAGCGACCGCTGTTGGGCTTGCGGACCTCTGTCTCAAATGATCAACGCCCGCGGCCACGGCGACGGCGAATCGGGCTCAAAAAGGACAACGACTGGTGTCGACCTTCGTGCCCACTCTCTCCGTACGGAAGAGGGGCCATGACATCCGCGGAGACATCATGTGCGAGGCGGGGGTTTATCCAGATCCACGGCCTGGGAACCGACCCCCGGGGGCTCGACTATCTCCATATCCACCGCCTGCCGACTCTGTTCCCCAGGCGGTGGTCATGTGCAAATTCCCGCCTCGGACATCACGGCCCCGGCCACGACATCGACCCCCCCCCCAGGACGTCGGCCCCCTCTGGGCCGCCCCCGGGGTGGCCACGCGCGCCGAGGCGGAGGCGCACACACGGGGCGGCGGCTGCGAGGGGGGAGGAGAGGAACTCGGCGCCGCCACCGCCAGCGCGAAGAGCCATCTTCCCGGCGGCGTGCCCTGCCTCGCCGCGCTCCGAGCACCTCCAGCGTCCAGCTCTCCGGGAAGCTGGAGGGGGAGGGAAAAGGGCGCAGGGAGGACCGAGGCGGGGAGGCGGGATAGGGGGGAGGGGCGGGGGGAAGGGAGCGGCCAACGAGGCTGAAGGAGGGACGAGCGGGGGGGGGATGCGGACAAGAAACAGGGCAGTGTACACACACACACACACACCCAGGGTCGAGGGTCAGCTGTACCACCGACAGCCGTTCGACCGACACGGTCTCGGCACAGCTCTTCCTCTGGCTGGCGGCCTGCGGTTCGACCCGCGGCCTCGGCAACTTGAGAGCTAGCACGTTGGCTGCTGTGCCGAAACTCCATTGCGAGAGTGAGGAGGAGAAGGGGACAGAGTAGGATGATGACGATGATCGTACTTGCTGGATGGCTTTCGTTGTTTGTCAGATCCTCCGCCCATGGGAACATAGAAGTGATGAGGGAAGGAACGGTGCGTGTGTGTGTGTATGTGTGTGTATGTGTGCGCGCGGGAGTGCGCGCGTGTGTGTGTGCGTGGGGGGAGAGGAGTCGGCGAGATGAGGGAGGAGGGAGGGATACATACAGAGGAGGGTGAGGGGATGTCAGGCAGAAGGTGAAAATGGGAGTTTGTGCCTACCTGAAATCGCGATTGACGCGCATGTGTAACACCCGAAGAAAGCAGAGAGGCACGTTTGTGCTGCAACATAGGGGTCTGGTTGAATGATTACCTGGAACGCCTCCCATCAGCCTTTTGGGCGTATGTTGTTTAGAACGATCCTTCTTCCACCCCCCCCTTTTTCCGCCCTTCGTGGAAAGGGCTCCAGCCCCATTCGACCACCCACCCGCATACCAAGCAGGAACAATGAGACCCCCCACCCCTGTCAATTGTGCTACCGAGGAAACCACATACTTCTGTTATTTCGTGGGTGTTCACGACCTGTGTCGCATCCTGCTTTCCTGAACGTTCAAACACAGTGTCATTCATTTTGACATCCTTCAAGCAAGATCTCAACGTTTGCAACGCAACAGTGCGTGAACCTCTTCCATCCTCCCCTCCTCCCTTTCCCATCTCTTCTGCCTCCCACTTCGCCCTGGTCATATACATTCCTGCACTGCGCTTCTTTGGCGATGTCGCGGCAGTGCGCAAGTGAGCGTTTTCTTATTCGGCGTTTCGACATTGGGCGGAAGGGGGGGGGGAAGGGGGGGGGTCTGGCTCCGGGCTTGATGCGACTGTTTGCAACCGTGCGTCCCATGGGGGAAGCTCCACCTGCCTGAAACAGGCGCCAGAAACAACCCAGATCCACTCCATGGGGGGGGGAGGGGGGGTGCGAGGGCCCGCGCTGATCGGCACAACAATGAATACGAAAACGATCACCAATTCTTCGGCATGAAGTCCACTGTTTGCGAGCGCGCGGCGGCCACGACAACCGCGCTCGGCGAGCTATCTGCGGTGTAGAGAAAGTGCTACGTCGGCCACACTTGGGAAGCCTGCGATGGATACGGCGTCCACCCCCTGCGCATCCACTCTTTTAGTGCCGACGAAATTCTAGCCTGCCACGCCATGAGTTCAAGGACCACCCCCTGCGCACTCCCTCAGGAATTGAGAAAGTGCCACGCCTGCCAGGCCCTGTGACAGGGGCGCGTAGAAAGACCGCGCTGAGGGACCATCCCCGGCGCACCCCATCAGGTGTCGAGAAAATGCCACGCCCGCTGGGCCCTGCGACATTGGCGCGTTTCGAGACCGCGCTGCGGGACCACCCCCTGCGCACCCCCTCTGGCGTCGAGATACGTGCCACGCCTGCTAGGCCCTGCGACATTGGCATGTATAGAGACCGCGCTTAGGGACTACCCCCTGCGCTGCAACACCTGCTAGGACGTGCGACATTAGCGCGTATAGTGACCGCGCTGAGGGACCACCCCCTGCGCCCCCCGCGCGCTCCTGCCAGGCCCTGCGGCATTGGCGCGTTTTGAGACCGCGCTGAGGGACCACCCCCTGCGCACCCCCTCTGGTGTTGAGAAATTGTCACGCCTGCTACAGCCGGCACCTATTGGACGCCCATTTCGAAGCTTCTCGAGCGGGGCGCGGCCAACGAACGTGGCAAAGGATGGACCGAGGAGGCAAGGATGCAAAGGTACCCTTAGGAAGGCTGCCCATCCTTACCATGCGGGTTGACTTTAAGCCCTGCGACATTGGCGCGTATAGAGACCGCGCTGCGGGACCATCCCCTGTGCACCCCCTTCTGGTGTCGAGAAAGTGCCACGCCTGCTAGGCCCTGCGACATTGGCGCGTATCGAGACCACGCTGCGAGACCACCCCCTGTGCACCCTCTCTGATGCCGAGAAAGTGCCACGCCTGCTAGGCCCTGCGACATTGGCGCGTATAGAGACCGCGCTGAGGGGCCGACCCCTGCACACCCCCTCAGGTGTCGAGATACTGCCACGCCTGCTAGGTCCTGCGACTTTGGCGCGTATTGAGACCGCGCTGGGGGAGCACCCCATGCGTACCCACTCAGGTGTCGAGAACGTGCCACGACTGCTGGACCCTGCCACATTGACGATTCTAGATACCGCGCTGAGGGGCCATCACCCTGCGCACTCACTCTGGTTTCGGAAATGCTATGCATGCCACGCCCTGCGGCCCAGGCGTGTGTCTTAATGTGGGTGCAGTGTTCGTGTTGCTTGCGTCTTGTGTGTTTGATGCAATGAACACACCAGGTGTGTACTAGCGTGTAGTCTCTCGCCCATGCCTGCGTGTGGTGTGCATGTGTGTTGAGGTGGAGAGGGAGAAAGGGGAGGTGAGGTGTGAGGTTCGCGGGTGTGACGCGGCTCGGAAGAAAACCCGAACCCCTCTAAACATGTGGGGAACAAACGCGTCTTTCCGCACTTGATGCGCCATGGCCAACATGGACGCCACGCTCAAGGACCATCCCCTGCACCCCCCCTGCTGTGTGGAGAATTGTGCCGTGTTGTACAGTGTGCGCGTGCAGCTGCAAGTAAGAGTGTGTGTGTGTGTGTGTGTCGCCCCATCGCCAGCGCAGTGACTCTGCCTAGCCGCCGACGCAAAACAATGTGTGTGTGTGTGTGTGCGTGCGTGTGCGCGTGCGCGTGCGCGTGCGCGTGCGCGTGCGCGTGCGCGTGCGCGTGCGCGTGTGTGTGTGTGTGTGTGTGTGTGCGCGCGCGCACTTTTGTGTGCGTGTATGTTTGAGTGTATGTTTTGTATGTTTGATGTGCCCGCGTGTGTTATGCATGCGAACGTATGTCTGATGGGTGCACGAGCGAGAACGAGGAGGAAGAGGAGGGTGGGAAACACGGGTGCGACGTGGGTGGGAAGAAAACCATAAGCCCAGGAAGCATATGGGGAAACATCGATGCCAAGTGCACAAGGCGGCAAAGCCAGGATTATGAATGGGCACCCCGTGATCACTGCGTACTTGATGTTGACAGGTATGACGGGTGTGCTGATATTTGATCGCTAAGTTCTCGCCCGCGATGCCTACCAAACAAGAACGAAGCAAATGCGGGTGCGAACGCCATATGCCGTGCTGGCTCCCGAGACAATTTTCGGGGTCGCGGATACGCCAAGACCCCTATAACGATCTCAGCCGGTTGTCAGGAATCTGCCTTTCTCGATGTCAGGCCTTCGGCGGAGACCTCTCGCGCTCTTGCAGTCCCAGTCCACCAGTGGCGGCGGTGGAAGAGGGGAGCTAAACTTTTCGGTTCGTGGTCCCCCTCTTGGGGCCGTCTTGGGGCTCTCTTGAGCCGTCTTGGGCGTCTCCTGGGTCGTCTTGGGGCCCTCTTGGGCCGTTTTGAGTGCCTCTTGTGCCGTCTTGGGGCCCTTTTGGGGGCCTCTCAGGAGCCTCTTGGGCCGTTCTGGGGCGGTCTTGGGAGCCTCTTGGGCCGTCGTCAACGCCGGGAAAACCGAAAAGCCGTATATGCTAAAAATGTATGTTTTCCGATTGGGAATCAATGATTTTGGCCTCCTGGGGCCTCTTGGGGGGCGTCTTGGGGGCCTCTCGAGGCATCCAGGGAGCGTCTTGGGGCGAAAGGCTAGACTTTTCGGTTCGTGGTCCCCCTCTTGGGGCCGTCTTGGGCCCTCTTGGGCCGTCTTGGGCGCCGCTTTGGCCGTCTTGGCGCCCTCTTGGGCCGTTTTGGGGGCCTCTTGGGGCCTTGGGGGGTTCTTGGGCCCTCCTGGGAGCGTCTTGGGGCGAAAGGCTAGACTTCTCGGTTCGTGGTCTTGGGGCCCTCTTGGGCCGTCTTGGGCGCCTCTTGGGCCGTCTTGGGGCCCTCTCGGGCCGTTTTGGGGGCCGCTTGGGAGCCTCTTGGGCCGTCCTGGGGTGGTTCGGGGGGCCTCTTGGGCCGTCTTCGACGCAGTGGAGGCCGAAAAGTAGCGTATGCTCAAGATGCACGTTTTCCAAAAGAAAATCAATGATTTTGGCCTCTTGGGGCCCTCTTGGAACGCCCCGTGGGCGCATCTTGGGGCGTCTCGGAAGTCTCTTGGGCCGTCTTTGGGCCGTCTTGGGCATGTTGGACCGTCTTGGAGTCGTCTTGGTGGTATCTTGGGCCGTCTTGAGCGCCCAAGACGGCCCAAGAAGCGCCCAAGAGGCCTCCAAGACGCCCCGAGCGGCCATTAACACTCATCCCTGTACCCCTCCCCTCCCCTGGACCCCTCCCTAGAAGGCTTCGCCCAAATACAACGTCATCACTCGTACCTCGCTCTTTCCGTTACCTGGCCCGGCACAGACACGGAAAGAGCGCTTCAGAAACAGAAACCGAAATTACTCACACCACCGTTCGTACTGGGAGCCTTGGCGTTGAGAGCTTGTTACGTCACCCCTCGCTCTTGGGAGCCTTGGTGTTCAGAGATTGTTGCGTTGCCGCCCGTTCCTGAGCCTTGGCTGGGCCTTGGTGTCAGGAACTTGTTGCGTCACCGCTCTCTGCTGGGAGCCTTGGTGCTATCAGCTTGTTTACGTCACCGTTTGCTCTTGGGAGCCTTTGTGTGAAGAGCTTTTTGCGTTACCGATCGCTCTTTATTTGGCGTCTCTGGGCCTTCTTGGGAGTCCTATTGGGGCCCTTTTAGAGCCCTTTTGGAAGCCTCTTGGGAACCTCTTGGGGGCTTCTTGGGGCTTCTAGGGGGGCTCTTGGGGCCTTCTGGGAGCTTCTTGGGGCGAAGGGCTAGACTTTTCGGTTCGTGGTCTCCCTCTTGGAGCAGCCTTGGGGCCCTCTTGGACGCCTCTTGGGCCGTCTTAGCGCCCTCTCGGGCTAGTTTGGGGGCATCTTGGGAACCTCTGGGGCCGTCTTGGGGCAATATTTGGGGCCTCTTGGACGGCCTCCAACGCCGCGAAAGCAGAAAAGCCGTGTATGCTAAAAATGTATGTTCCCCGATCGGAAATCAATGATTTT